TTAAATAATCAGAAACTTATTATAAACAGAAATTTTATAAATAATAAAAATTATTAAATATAAACAAAAATGATATGAATAATAAAATACATATAAACAACTGTTTAGTTTAATTGAGTTAATAAAATATTATAATCGGGAACTCTCATGGAGTCTTGGTTGGCGCGGGGCGCGCGGGAGATGCCGCGCCGTATGCGTGAGCTGCTCAGAAAACTCGCGCGCGTTAAGACTAAAAATTCTGTATCTTCTAAAGTTTTTAAGAATCCCACTTTTTTATTTTTGTCATGGAATCGTGAAAAGCCCCTTTTTATGATTCTATAAAAAAAATTGGAAAAATCGACTGAGAACATTGTTAATTTATAAAGTTAAAAATTAACAATATAATTTGTTTAAACAAATTATACTTTTTATTCATAATTTATTTATTTATCAAAAGTACGTATCTTAATCTTTCTCCAAACCAATTTTTATTAAAATCGGTTCGGCCAATTTCAAGATACAGAATTTTTTCCAAAACGTTGCAAAAAAGTTTAATTGTTTATAACTTTTAAAAAAATTCGAATTTTGAAAAATCGTTTCAGGGGTTTTTTAGTGACATCATGGACTACCAAAATATGTGGGTATCACTTTTTTCTATTACACAAAAAATATTAGGGGGCCACTTCAGGAATTCTTACCCAGTTATCAAGGAAATATGTTTGAACAAACTAAAAGTACATTTTTCACTGGTTCTCTCAGGGTCTTTCTACCGTGTTTTCACTTCAAAAAGAGAGAAAAATTTGTAAAATTTTAATTGAAAAAAATAACGAATGAAAAAAAGGATACAAAATTTGATATAATGACCTTTTACCTTAGGTTCTCTGATGGGCTTTCTACTGGGTTTTCACCCCAGAAAGGAGCACAAAAATGGAGTACAAGTTAAAGCTAAGACAACAAGAAAGCAGGAATATTTTCTTCTAGTTATCAAGAAAATATGTTTGTACAAACTAAAAGTACATTTTTCACTGGTTCTCTGATGGGCTTTCTACTGGGTTTTCACCCCAGAAAGGCGCACAAAAATGGAGTACAAGTTAAAGCTAAGACAACAAGAAAGCAGAAATATTTTCTTCTGATTATAAAGAAAAAATGTTTCTACAAACTAAAAGTATATTTTTCACTGGTTCTCCGAGGGTCTTTCTACTGGGTTTTCACCCCAGAAAGGCGGACGAAAATGGTGTACAAGTTATATCTAAAAGAACAAGAAAACAGGAATATTTTCTTCTAGTTATCAAGGAAATATGTTTGTACAAACTAAAAGTACATTTTTCACTGGTTCTCTGAGGGTCTTTCTACTGGGTTTTCACCCCAGAAAGGCGGACAAAAATGAAGTACAAGTTATAGCTAAGACAACAAGAAAGCAGAAATATTTTCTTCTGATTATGAAGAAAATATGTTTGTACAAACTAAAAGTACATTTTTCACTGGTTCTCTGATGGGCATTCTACTGGGTTTTCACCCCAGAAAGGCGCACAAAAATGGAGTACAAGTTATAGCTAAGACAACAAGAAAGCAGAAATATTTTCTTCTGATTATGAAGAAAAAATGTTTCTACAAACTAAAAGTATATTTTTCACTGGTTCTCTGAGGGTACTTCTACCGGGTTTTCACCTCAGAAAGGCAGACAATAATTGTGTACAAATTATATGTAAAAGAAAAAGAAAGCAGGAATATTTTCTTCTAGTTATCAAGGAAATATGTTTGAACAAACTAAAAGTACATTTTTCACTGGTTCTCTCAGGGTCTTTCTACCGTGTTTTCACTTCAAAAAGAGAGAAAAATTTGTAAAATTTTAATTGAAAAAAATAACGAATGAAAAAAAGGATACAAAATTTGATATAATGACCATTTACCTTAGGTTCTCTGATGGGCTTTCTACTGGGTTTTCACCCCAGAAAGGAGCACAAAAATGGAGTACAAGTTAAAGCTAAGACAACAAGAAAGCAGGAATATTTTCTTCTAGTTATCAAGAAAATATGTTTGTACAAACTAAAAGTACATTTTTCACTGGTTCTCTGAGGGTATTTCTAACGGGTTTTCACCTCAGAAAGGAAGACAAAAATTGTGTACAAGTTATATATAAAAGAAAAAGAAAGCAGGAATATTTTCTTCTAGTTATCAAGGAAATATGTTTGTACAATTTAAAAGTACATTTTTCACTGGTTCTCCGAGGGTCTTTCTACTGGGTTTTCACCCCAGAAAGGCAGACAATAATTGTGTACAAATTATATGTAAAAGAAAAAGAAAGCAGGAATATTTTCTTCTAGTTATCAAGGAAATATGTTTGTACAAACTAAAAGTATATTTTTCACTGGTTCTCTGATGGGCTTTCTACTGGGTTTTCACCCCAGAAAGGCGCACAAAAATGGAGTACAAGTTAAAGCTAAGACAACAAGAAAGCAGAAATATTTTCTTCTGATTATAAAGAAAAAATGTTTCTACAAACTAAAAGTATATTTTTCACTGGTTCTCCGAGGGTCTTTCTACTGGGTTTTCACCCCAGAAAGGCGGACGAAAATGGTGTACAAGTTATATCTAAAAGAACAAGAAAACAGGAATATTTTCTTCTAGTTATCAAGGAAATATGTTTGTACAAACTAAAAGTACATTTTTCACTGGTTCTCTGAGGGTCTTTCTACTGGGTTTTCACCCCAGAAAGGCGGACAAAAATGAAGTACAAGTTGTAGCTAAGACAACAAGAAAGCAGAAATATTTTCTTCTGATTATGAAGAAAATATGTTTGTACAAACTAAAAGTACATTTTTCACTGGTTCTCTGAGGGTCTTTCTACTGGGTTTTCACCCCAGAAAGGCGGACAAAAATGGAGTACAAGTTATAGCTAAGACAACAAGAAAGCAGAAATATTTTCTTCTGATTATGAAGAAAATATGTTTCTACAAACTAAAAGTACAATTTTCACTGGTTCTCTGAGGGTCTTTCTACTGGGTTTTCACCCTAGAAAGGCGCACAGAAATGGAGTACAAGTTATAGCTAAGACAACAAGAAAGCAGGAATATTTTCTTCTAGTTATCAAGGAAATATGTATGTACAAACTAAAAGTACATTTTGCACTGGTTCTCTGAGGGTCTTTCTACTGGGTTTTCACCCCAGAAAGGCGGACAAAAATGTTGTACAAGTTATAGCTAAGACAACAAGAAAGCAGAAATATTTTCTTCTGATTATGAAGAAAAAATGTTTCTACAAACTAAAAGTATATTTTTCACTGGTTCTCTGAGGGTACTTCTACCGGGTTTTCACCTCAGAAAGGCAGACAATAATTGTGTACAAATTATATGTAAAAGAAAAAGAAAGCAGGAATATTTTCTTCTAGTTATCAAGGAAATATGTTTGAACAAACTAAAAGTACAATTTTCACTGGTTCTCTGATGGGCTTTCTACTGGGTTTTCACCCCAGAAAGGAGCACAAAAATGGAGTACAAGTTAAAGCTAAGACAACAAGAAAGCAGAAATATTTTCTTCTGATTATGAAGAAAAAATGTTTCTACAAACTAAAAGTATATTTTTCACTGGTTCTCTGAGGGTATTTCTAACGGGTTTTCACCTCAGAAAGGAAGACAAAAATTGTGTACAAGTTATATATAAAAGAAAAAGAAAGCAGGAATATTGTTTAATCTATAAGTATGTAACAGTAAAAGTAGATATTGTTATTGTTAATTATTATAAGGAATATTTTATTATTTTTTTATAATTAAAATTTCTTTTATATTCATATGTAATTAAATTAATATCAAGTTTTAAATTGTCTAAAATTAACTTTTATAATTAAGAAAATATCATTTATAATCTGAATTTGGATTCAAATTTCTATTTAAGTATTTACGATAAGAACTTCGGCGAACGCACGTGTTCCAAATTTTGTTTAACTTATCCCTACTCATATAAGCGCAGTTACACAAAGGACATGAAAAATCACGTCATAGAAAATCAGTTCGACTTAAGACGTTGTAAAGAATAGTCTTCTCATAAAATTATAAAATTAAAACAGTCTTTTTTAATAAACGTATTTTATTCATTTTACGTTTCACCTTCTTGTTCCTCATAATAAACGAAATAATCTTTTCAACAATGAAAATTGATGGAAAGGTACTAAAACATTAGTACAAATTAAACATGGTCCTTCGAGCCGGATATAAATTGCAAAAACTTTAAAATATAACTATACACATAAGTGATTATAATAAACAGTGCAGTGCAGTGAATCAAATTTATACATTTGATTTCAATGAGTTTATTATTAAACAAATAAAAAACAATGATCTTTTAAAAGTGTACACAGTGACATGCAAAAACAACTGTGAAATCGTTTTTAACGAAATCAATTAACATTTTAATATCACTGAACATAATTTCTTTTCAATTTTACATACTCATTTCTCTTTACATATATTATTGAAACGTTTCAAATAACATTATACACATTTTACAATTTACAAGACAAGTTATTTCAAATAATAAATTTTGTCTAATCATTTAAAAAGGGTAATGCGTTAAAAACACCCAATTAAAAAGTGTGCATTTACAAAATACACAAAATTTGCATCCATGTGAAGTTTGAGGCAATGCGCTTAAACACCTCATCTTCTATATACATATATCAATTTTTAATGAGACAATGCATTTGAAACATCTCATATATACAACAATTCTACAATGAGGCAATGCATCTTTAAACACCTCATTCCGTACAACTATAATACAAAGGGGCAATGCGTTTTAAGACACCTCAATAAATATTGAAATCTTTTACACATAAACAATGAGTCAAAAATTCTCACCATCAACTTTTTTGTAAATATCAGGTTCAATCAGGTATGTCAATTCATTGAGTCATTATTAACAGAGATGTCAATTATTTGTATACTATTTATATAAATTTTATTTTAAACAAATTAATCATTTATGTCACAATTTTAATAATTCATTAAATTAATTAATATTTAAAAATGGAAGAATTTGATCGATTAAACGTTCTTTCACAAAAAATTACTACAATTAAAGAGCATTTAACTTCTTTTGAAGAATTTCTTGCACATTTTGATGCTCATAATATTAATCCTGCTCAATTCGCTGAATCACAGTTACGACATAATTTGGTATTTTCTTATTTCTCTAATATTGACGATCTTTACAATGAGATCCAATTAATCGACACAGAAACAAATCACACCAGTGATAAAAGATCTTTACAAGAATCATTTTTTAAATTGATGGCTTTAGCTCAAAGTTACATTTCAGTTATTGTTCAAAAGGATAATATCAATAATCATGAATTAAATTCTAATTCCGAAAACGGACGTATATCAAACGCGTCAAGCAATTATAAAAGGCTAAAACTTCCACAAGCAGTTCTTCCCACTTTTAGTGGAAAGATAGAAGAATGGCTATCTTTCAAAGACACATTCACTACTATGATTCATAAACGTGATGATATTACCAATGTCGAAAAATTACAATATTTAAAATCGGTTCTTAAAGATGAAGCGTTACGTAAAGTTCAAGTTTTTTCATTTACAGAAGAAAATTATGAACGTGCTTGGAAGCTTTTGCAAAAATCGTACGAAGATAAGCGCACATTAATTTCTCAACATTTAAATTTATTATTGCGGTTGCCATCACAAGATAAAGAATCTTATCAAGGTTTAATCGCGCTTGCAGATGAATCACAACAACATCTTCAGTCCTTAGAGTCTCTCGGGGTTAATGTAACACACGAAATAGTAGTCGCTATTATAGAAGAAAAACTCCACAAATCAACATTAGAAAAATGGGACGAAAGCATAAAAAACGGGGAATTTCCTCGTTTAGAGGATATGACGGATTTCTTGTATAGAACTGCGGCGCGTATTTCCAAACGTAAATTAAATAACGATAATACAGATAAAGATTCTTCTTCTAATAAAAAACGTAAACTTGAATCCAAAAAATTAGCTCTTGTTACATCGACTTCCTCAAAACAATGTCCACTTTGCAAAGAATCTCATCCTTTGTTTAAATGTAACAAATTTTTAAATTTGACACCTAATGAACGCTTCAAGGTCGTAAAAGAGGCTAAATTGTGTGTTAATTGTTTACGCAACCATAAAGCTAAAGATTGTAAATTTGGATCTTGTAAAAAATGTAATAACCGACACAATACATTGCTACATTTTACAAAATCTGATGAAAATCAAAATCTAAGCGAAACAAAGGAAGCATGACAATTAAATAATAACAATCCAAAAATTTCATTAAACTCATTAGTTCAAACAACATCTTTTCATTTAATGACAAGTGCATTAGTTGAGGTTTTTGATTACAAAAAACATAAAATAAAAGCTAGAGTTTTATTGCATACTTGTGCAACCTCCAATTTTATTACATATAATCTGTTAAATAAATTGAAACTTACAACAATTAAATGTTGTTTCTCTGTAGGAGCTTTAAATAATTTAACAACAACAGTTAATAATATGGTCAATGTAACATTCAAATCAACTTACAATGAATATAAACGTACACTTAATTTTCTTGTTGTTCCAAATATAACAGATTTAATTCCAAGTCAAACTATAAAAAGAGAACTTCTTAAAATACCTCCTCATATTTTATTGGCAGATCCACATTTTCATATACCAGGCACGATTGATATGCTTATAGGGGCAGGTACCACTTTATCTTTATTTTCAATTGGTTCCATAAATTTATCAGAAAATGGAAATGATTTTTATTTGCAAAAAACTAGATTGGGTTGGATAATTGGTGGTGGTATAAGTGTCCATAAAGGTTTACAAAAATGTAAATTAACAAAATGTATGTTGACTGATTTACAATCAACAATTGAAAAGTTTTGGTCTGTTGAGGAATTAACAACTCAATCAACTTTCTCTCAAGAAGAAATAAAATGTGAAGAACATTTCAAACAAAACGTGTCGCGCAATGAAATTGGTCAATACGTAGTCGCGTTACCATTTAAAATATCGCCTAATGAAATCGGGGAATCAAAACAAATTGCTTTAAAAAGATTGAATAGTTTACAAAAAAGGTTTGAAAATAATATTGAATTAAAAAATCAATATACTGCTGTAATTGAAGAATATAAACGATTAAATCATATGACAAAGATAAATTCAATATCAAATTCAGAAGGTTTTTATTTGCCTCACCACGGTATTTTCAAAGATTCGAGTAGTACCACTAAATTACGTGTTGTTTTTAATGCATCATCTAAAAGTTCTACAGGAATTTCTTTAAATGAAGCTTTAATGGTCGGTCCCACTATTCAAGATGATCTTTTTTCACTATTAATTCGATTTAGATTTCATAAATATGTGCTTATAGCAGATATTGAAAAAATGTATCGACAATTTTTAATACGTGAAGAAGATAAAAAATTTCAAAAAATTTTATGGTATGAAAATAACGAAGTACAAGAATATCAATTAAATACTGTAACTTTTGGTTTTGCTCCCGCGTCATTTTTGGCTATTCGATGTTTACATCAATTAGTCGAAGATGAAGGTCAAAATTTTTCTATTGGAGCAAAAGTCATAAAAAACGATTTATATGTTGACAATTTAATTACCGGTGCATCTACATGTAAAGAAGCTCGAGAAATATATAATCAAACAATTCAATTATTAAATAAAGCTCAGCTTAATATGTGTCAGTGGGCTTCTAATGAACCGTCTATACTTCATGGAGTAAACGAAAAAAGCGTCGATAAAGAATTTAAAATAAACAAAGATTTCATGGTAAAGACTCTTGGTATACATTGGAAGGCCATAAAAGATGTATTTGTATATCGTATTAAATTAACCGAAACTAAGACTATAAATACTAAAAGAACAATTTTATCTGAAATTGCTAAATTATTTGATCCTTTAGGATTTTTGGGTCCTGTTATACTTTATGCTAAATTAATTATGCAAGAACTTTGGCAATCAAAAGTAAAGTGGGATGAATCAATACCATCTTCTATACATCATAATTGGTCAAATTTTTGCGATCAATTAGAATCCCTTCAAAATATTCATATATCTCGAAACGTTTTGATAAATGATATGCAGAAAATACAATTGCACGGTTTTTGCGATGCTAGTTTAAAAGGTTATGGAGCTTGTCTATATGTAAGAAGCGAAAATGATAAAGGGCAAATTCGTTGTGTTCTTTTATGCTCTAAATCACGTGTTGCTCCCATAAAAAATATTACTATACCACGATTAGAGTTGTGTGGAGCTGTTTTATTAACCAATTTATTTCAAAAAATTTCACATTCTATTAATATCAATGTTGAAAAAACGATTCTCTGGACTGACTCAGAAATCGTATTACATTGGTTACGTACCGATTCAAATACTTTAAAAACATTTGTTTCAAATCGCGTATCCGATATTCAATCAAAAACTAAAATAAATCAATGGCGTCATGTTCCATCTAAAAGCAATCCTGCTGATCAACTTTCGCGAGGTCAATTACCAAATAAATTTATCGAAAATAACATGTGGTTTGAGGGTCCTTCTTGGTTATCTCAAAGCGATAAGTTTTGGCCGATAAGTGAAATTAAATTACATACTGATATCTTGCTAGAAACTAAAAAATTAACATGTTTAACGGTTAACTCTCAAGATGATATTTTGGCAAAATTTTCTTCTTTTATAAAATTAAAAAGAATCATCGCTTACTGTTGTCGATTTCTAACCGAATATCGACAATATAAAGGTTCTTTGAGTATAATTGAATTAAAACATGCTGAAACAATAGCAATTCGAGTTGTACAAAATAAATGTTTTCAGACTGAAATTAAAAATCTATCTGAGAATAAATCTTTAAATACGAAAAGTAAAATATACAATCTAGATCCTATTGTTGGTGATGACGGTCTCTTGCGTGTTGGTGGACGTTTAAAAAATGCCGACATTTCTTTTGACAAAAAACATCCTATAATATTGCCAAAATCTAACTTTTTAACAGATCTAATAATTTCACATTATCATATTGTCTCATATCATGGAGGTCAACAGGCTACTTTATATAACATGCGTCAAAAATATTGGCCAGTTGATGGAAGAAATCAAATTAAAAAGAATATACGCAAATGTATTCATTGTTTTCGAACTAAACCAAAATTAGTAGATTATAAAATGGGTAATCTCCCAGAAACACGCGTAACACAAACAAGACCTTTCAATCGAGTAGGCATTGATTACTGTGGTCCATTTTTTATAAAAGAGCGTAAATATAGAAATAAGAAAAAGATTAAAGTATATGTATGCATTTTTGTGTGCATGACCATTAAGGCAATACATATCGAATTAGTAAGCGATTTGAGCACGGAGGGTTTTTTAGGAGCATTGAGGCGTTTCATTGCTCGTCGTGGAAAACCACAATCAATTTATTGTGATAATGGTACAAATTTTCAAGGTGCAAGAAATGAATTAAATGAAGTATATGTTCTTCTTAAATCACAAAATTTTGAAAAAGTCATTTACAATTTTACGAGCAATCAAAATATCGAATTTCATTTCATTCCTCTCTCCTCTCCTCATTTTGGAGGATTGTGGGAGGCAGGAGTGAAGTCTTGTCTAGTTATAGCTAAGACAACAAGAAAGCAGAAATATTTTCTTCTGATTATGAAGAAAATATGTTTCTACAAACTAAAAGTACATTTTTCACTGGTTCTCTGAGGGTCTTTCTACTGGGTTTTCACCCCAGAAAGGCGGACAAAAATGGAGTACAAGTTATAGCTAAGACAACAAGAAAGCAGAAATATTTTCTTCTGATTATGAAGAAAATATGTTTCTACAAACTAAAAGTACATTTTGCACTGGTTCACTGAGGGTATTTCTAACGGGTTTTCACCTCAGAGAGGAAGACAAAAATTGTGTACAAGTTATATGTAAAAGAAAAAGAAAGCAGAAATATTTTCTTGTAGTTATCTAGGAAATATGTTTGTACAAACTAAAAGTACATTTTTCACTGGTTCTCTGATGGGCTTTCTACTGGGTTTTCACCCCAGAAAGGCAGACAAAAATGGTGTAAAAGTTATATCTAAAAAAAACAAGAAAGCAGGAATATTTTCTTCTAGTTATCATGGAAATATGTTTGTACAAACTAAAAGTACATTTTTCACTGGTTCTCTGAGGGTATTTCTACCAGGTTTTCACCTCAGAAAGGCAGACAAAAATTGTGTACAAGTTATATGTAAAAGAAAAAGAAAGCAGGAATATTTTCTTGTAGTTATCAAGGAAATATGTTTGTACAAACTAAACGTACATTTTGCACTGGTTCTCTGAGGGTATTTCTAACGGGTTTTCACCTCAGAAAGTCAGACAAAAATTGTGTACAAGTTATATGTAAAAGAAAAAGAAAGCAGGAATATTTTCTTCTAGTTATCAAGGAAATATTTTTGTGCAAACTAAAAGTACATTTTTCACTGGTTCTCTGATGGGCTTTCTACTGGGTTTTCACCCCAGAAAGGCGCACAAAAATGGAGTACAAGTTATAGCTAAGACAACAAGAAAGCAGAAATATTTTCTTCTGATTATGAAGAAAAAATGTTTCTACAAACTAAAAGTATATTTTTCACTGGTTCTCTGAGGGTATTTCTAATGGGTTTTCACCTCAGAAAGGAAGACAAAAATTGTGTACAAGTTATATGTAAAAGAAAAAGAAAGCAGGAATATTTTCTTGTAGTTATCAAGGAAATATGTTTGTACAAACTAAAAGTACATTTTTCACTGGTTCTCTAAGGGTCTTTCTAACGGGTTTTCACCTCAGAAAGGCAGACAAAAATTGTGTACAAGTTATATGTAAAAGAAAAAGAAAGCAGGAATATTTTCTTCTAGTTATCAAGGAAATATTTTTGTTTAAACTAAAAGTACATTTTTCACTGGTTCTCTCAGGGTCTTTCTACTAGGTTTTCACCCCAGAAAGGCGCACAAAAATGGAGTACAAGTTATAGCTAAGACAACAAGAAAGCAGAAATATTTTCTTCTGCTTATGAAGAAAATATGTTTCTACAAACTAAAAGTACAATTTTCACTGGTTCTCTGAGGGTCTTTCTACTGGGTTTTCACTCCAGAAAGGCGCACAAAAATGGAGTACAAGTTATAGCTAAGACAACAAGAAAGCAGGAATATTTTCTTCTAGTTATCAAGGAAATATGTTTGTACAAACTAAACGTACATTTTGCACTGGTTCTCTGAGGGTATTTCTAACG